GGGTAGGGTAGGGTAGAGTAGAGTAGAGTAGAATAGAATAGAATAGAATAGAATAGAATAGAATAGAATAGAATAGAATAGAATAGAATAGAATAATTGGAAGGGACCTTGGAGGTCTTAAAGTTCAACCCCCTGCTTTGGCAGGAAACCCTATACCATTTCAGACAAATGGTGGTCCAACATCTTCTTAAAAACTTGCAGTGTTGGAGTATTCACAACTTCTGGAAGCAAGTTGTTCCACTGATTAATTGTCCCAACTGCCACATTGATATGCCACATTATCTCAGAACTGTGGAGACTGGTGTCTCAAGCCTCTATCAATTTGCAGTAGCTGAATGGACTCTGCAATAGAGGACACTGATGCATTGCAACCTCAGGGCTATGGTGACCTTATAATAACAGTGCCTATGCTGTATGTTTTGTTTTGTTTTGTATTGCAACAGTATAATGAGCACCCTGGATGGGGATGTTTGTCCTGGAACACAATACTGATTAAAAACTACATCTTTGTGTTAATTAGTTGATGATGCTAGTGCAGAAGTCCCTTTCCAATATCTATGTCCTCTAACCACATGTAGAGGCATGTACAAGGTGCAACAATTCTGGCATTCATATAAATTGCCCAGGTGGGAAGAGAACCTCTGGTTTTGCCACCAGAGAAAGCATTTGGAAAATTAGTAAGGTGGAAGACAGAGATCCTGGACTGAATCCTGGAGACTAACACTGTTGAATGTAGAATGTCTTTGAAAATACAGCTTCAAAATGTTCTGCAATAAATATACCAAGGCACCCTTGAGCTTGCTTGAATGCAGAATTTCAAAGCAGGGTACTAAAATGGCATTACAGGTAAGTATTTAAAAAAAATCCCTGCTCTTTGGAACTGTGTGACAAGCCCACACAGTTCAGTGCAATTAGACTGAATAGATCACCAAGGGATAATCATTCCATGAAATCATTAAATGCAGAAGTAGAAAGTCTGATGACATCACCTTACCTGAAGGGAACTGGTCTACACTCCCCTCTGCATGGTATGGAAGGGAAACAGGGTATGACCTGTCATTATACTCCTCAAGGAGCTAAAAAAATAATAATCTTTTTTCTACTTTCTAAATTTGTTCCACACCTGATTGGTGGCACATTTCTCTCTGGAATCTCCTGGATATTTTTTGCATGCCGAGACTAAAGAAATGAGATAATGACACAGACATGGAGGCAAGGCCCAGCATGGTATCTGCCTCCTTATCCCAGTAATATATCTCTATTCTGGCCTCGTGGTTAATGGAGAATTGGCAGGCAGAATAGAATTTATTCCAAGTTTTCTTGGTGAGATATAGGGTATTGTCAATAAACCTAGCCATCATAGGAATGATAGAACATTTTGTAACACTTGAAATTCAAGCAAAATTTTACAGAAATCGGGTACAAAATACCCTTTAGGCACTTCAGGAGTATGAAAAATGTCTGAATTAAATATTCTTCATAATAGAACACAGGCATTAAGGTAGACATGGATTGATTCAAAATACAGTAAAGGCATCATTCAATGAAAGGAACTTTATCATAACCTAGCTCATATACTGCCAGAGAAAAAGACGCAATGGTTAAGGCCACTGTTCCTTCAGATACAGGATTGTGTCACTTTTTAACTGTGGTCCAGAGTGGGTTCAATTGAGCCAGAATGGCAATCAGCCAGAATAGGTAGCAGCACACAGCAGTAATCACCAGCATTGTATTAATAACACCCTGGTTAGGGCCCTTGGGGACCAACCACGGCAAAACTCCGCCGATCACCCCCCAGAAAACGCTCATGACGATGATGGGCACCAGTAGGCCACCGTACGCCATCGCTGCCTCCTTTCACCGACTCTGGCTCTAAAACCAACGCTACGGCCGATCGACACCCCGTTTTCCATAGCCACGCCTGCCTTGGCTTCTTGGCCAATCGGAGGATTGGCAGGACTGAAGCAAGTCCCTAGGGGGAAAAATAGAATGGATTGTGGAAGCAAAATCTCAGCCCTCTGCCCTCTGCTCTGTCAAACTGAGCTGTTCAGCTGCAATGGAGGAGGAACAACATATTGGCAGCTTGTCGTATCTTGGCTCTATGACTGGGAATTCGAACTGGTGCTGAAACAGGTCTATTATTCAGGGATCTTTATTATCCCCCATGATATATTGGTTATTTCCGTAGTATGGAGGTCAAATACTATTATGATGCAGAAGACGCTTTATCTGATTTCAATGAAAAAAAATACTATGTCCCAGCACATGATCTTTAATTTTTCCCCCTATTTTTTAATCAAAATGAGGCACAGTAAAGTTATAAAAGCCCATGAAAATTCTTTGGCTTGGATGAGGTCCAGTGAAATGAAGATAAACCCTAACAAGGTCAATGTACTTTGGGTTCACTTGGCTAGATCTTGTTATTGTACAGTATTCTTAAACAAACGAATTGCATCAGCTTTCCGATGCGGAGACAGTATATATGCTTTTGCTAGCCTGATGTTTTCTTCAGTGACTCGGCTCCTTTGTCCTGATTCCAAGTTAAAGAATCCCCTGTGGCTTGTGTATAAAACATTTAACATAATGTATTTATTTTACTGTTACTGTAAATGCAAGGTCTTAATGGAACAGTGTACTGCAATTTTTAGACATAGTTTCTGAGATATGAGCTGAATTCTAGATCAGTGATTCTACTTCAGCAGATAAAATAACCTTTGATAGTGCTGTCCAACCTCTAATCATTCATGCTTGTTCCTTTTTATTGGAAATAACATGTCCTGGAACACACTAATCTTAGGTTTAACAGGAAAAATAAATAAAAGAAAAAGCTGCATGAACGAGACTGAAAAATTTCCATTGCAAAAACAATGACATAAAAACAGAATGAGGTATTAGTGCATAAGTACAGTAACAATATTCTTCAGTATAAATTTACCATGAATTATGAACCTAAGAAATCTTGGTCCAGCCCTAAGCTAGATTTAAAAATTTACTACTTTGGCATTTATATGCTTTTCTGCAAATGGCTACATGCTAAAAGCTTAAACATTTCTAAGAGCCAATGTGCTTTGTCAAGCTGTGATAGAAATAGATGGTTAAAGCAGATTTTCTGGAAGGATTACATGAGATTGCCGAAGGGATAAAAGAAAGGGGATTTTCAAGGAATGTCAAAGAAGATTCAGAAAAACTGCTTTCTTCTCCAAAGATGTCAGCTTCAGTAGAAGTAGGGGAAAAGACTGTGTAAGAGACATTGAAAAGCTACTGCCAGTGGAGACTATCAGACAAGAGTAAACCAATGTATCTCTACAGGCCTTCCTGCCTGCCCCAGTAAAATCAATACCCAAATGCTGAAATTACATGGAGGCAACATACCTGTGGCTTTAAAGTCAATTGGTGAGTGAGCAAAGGGCCCTTTCTATTCTTTCTACCCATTCCAAATTAAATACTTCCTGCTGACTACCGAAAACCTAGAAAATAATGGCACAAAAAGAGTGTATAATGACACATTTGTTATATGCATGTATGTATGTATGTATGTGGGTGTGTTTATATATATATTGGATTGGATTGGATTTATTTCATTTATATGCCGCCCTTTTCCCCGAAGGGGACTCAGGGCGGCTCACAATTCGGTCAGGGAAGGGGGTGTATATATATGTATTTGTGTGTGTGTGTGTGTGTGTGTACATATACGTGTATGTATGTATGTATGTATGTATGTATGTATGTATGTATGTATGTANTAACTGTCCATATCTTTTGTAATCTTTGTGGCATTATAAGTCTAGGAATTGAAGAATTGTGATTCATTGCTAGAATATCTCTACCGAGCACAACTTTTTTGGAGGGCCCAGATTTACATCTGACCATCGTGTCTTTTTCACTCAGCCTTCTATTCTACAGAGAACAATTTTGCAACACCACTGAAAATGCACATTGTGAAGGCAACCACGTACGTATGTTCTCCCGCTGTAGATATCAAAGCATCATCCTACAAGGAAGAACCTCTGTGTTTAATACATTATCCTTCCAACCCTATAGAAGAGATTGATTGCAGGCCATTCTTCTGCTTCTCCCACTTTATGGCTTTTGATTACAGGAGGCATTTGTTCATGAGAGGAGGCAAAGATCAAGGCAGGTAGCAAAAGAGCATTAGTGGAGGTGCAGCAAAGTGACAAATTCTTCATATGAAGAGATTAGCAGAAGGGACATCAAAGCATCAAACAAACCTTCAACGCACAGTTTCTGACCCACACCCTGACACTTTTCCTTTTATTTTAAATCAAAAACTGCAAAAAAAAATATGAGCGTATAACTGTTGAGTTTGCAAAGAGAATAATTGCTAAGGGACAGAAATAAAAAGCAATGTGCATTCCATTGCCTGGAAACTAACTAAATGGATGAGGCCCTAATGTTGGTTAAGGCCAGAAATTTGCCAGGCATAAAACAGGTCAAAGTAGATGACATGACATGTTTCTTTACTTCCTGACCCCGCTTCCCCAAACTCCACTTAATTAAGTATTTTGGAAGATATCAAACATTAGCAAAGTGTTAGAGATTTGACACTGTGGATATGGGGAGAGTGGGAAGGACCTGGATAGACTTCACTAGCATAAATTAATGTTAGGCATCTGTCTGAGTCCTCCACTCATGCCATCTCTAGTTCTGTACCCCCATGAGATGATAGGCAACTCTCAAGGTAGAGAAAGAGGTCAAAGGGGAGAGGTGCATTCCCCGGTTCCCGCAATATGGTTTCTACTAACCTTTGTTGAAGTGCATACAAATAACTCAAATCACAACTTAAATGAAATTTCTTTGAGCGCCCTGACGATATATCTATTTTACTTGATGTCTATGGAGATTCTCAGTCACCTAGGTCATGGTTGTCCAAAAAATGCTTTTTCAAGAGATACCTGGACTTTCTGGTTTTTCTTTGAAGACGTTTCACTTCCAAGAAACTTCTTCAGCTCTGACTGGATGGTGCAGAATGGAGGATTTATACTCCTTGCGGACAGCTGGACATTTGCATTCTTTTAGTGGGTCCATTAAGGCCACCTGGAGGTTTATCTCTGTCCTCAGGGTCACCCGAGTGGTGCAAATGGGTATGGAGCCTTTTTTCTTGGAACTGTTGAAAGGACTGTTTTGTAGATTGGAGATAGATGATCCCTCTCAGTTGAGAGATGGCTGTTCAATTTTGACATAGATGACCTCTTTAACCCCTCTTTCAAACCAGCGATCCTTTCTGCCCAAAATATGGACTTTGCTGTCTTCAAAAGAGTGGCTTTTGTCTTTTAAAAGCAGATGGACTGCTGAATCTAGTCCTGATGTGTTTGTTCTCCTATATTGTGCCATGCATTTATGAAGTGGTTGTTTTGTTTCCCCAATGTACAGATCTGCACATGGCTCACTGCAATTTACTGCATATACCATGTTGTTCAGTTTCTGTCTGGATGTTGTATCCTTGGGGTGGTCAAGCTTCTGCCTTAGTGTATTCTTGGTTTTTTAACTGGATAAAAACTTAACAAAGTTCTCGGTTTTACAGCATGTTTCATTTTAGAATCCTCAAAATACTGCCAATTTAAAGCTGCAACATATTCCTTTTATGTCAATATTTGGTGAAAACATGCCTGAAGTTCTTCTACCTTCTCCCAACAGGTGGTTTCCTTAAGTGTATTTTCTCTAATTCCTGTTACAGTTGATTATCCCATAAATTCTCAGAGGTGTAATTCTACAACCCTTCCTTTTGATTTCGGATTTCTTAATTTCTTTTGATTTAAGCAATTTGACATTATTTTCTTCTACCAGGACAATCCATAAAATGTCTTTCTTTATCTCTTTTGGTACAGCCAAAGGGGCCAGGCTGGGGCAGAATGGGCAAGACTCACTTTCCTTGCTTTTTAGGAGCCTTTTGTACACGCCAAAGTGAGGAGTGAATAAAGAAAAACAGAAGCTATTCGTGCTTGATAATTTGGAGGATTGATACCATGTGGTTCTCCAGAAAATGGCAGAGATCAGAATCCAGAGTTGTATTGCTTTGTCCTATTGGAGATACAGGAGACAAGGCATCCAGAAATAGCAACCTCTTCCCATCACTGATCCTGCTACCTTTCTTTGTTGCACAGTTTCAAAGTTATAGCACCTTAGATAGTTTGACTACTATTTGAAATTATTCAAATAGTTCTTATGGGCTGTACATTGCTCCTTCCAGCTTAAATCTGCCAAGTAAAAAGGTATTGGTAAACTGGTGCCTTGGGTGAGAAATATCTCCTCAGATTA